AGAAGCTAAGTCAATTGCATCAAACTAAAAAGCATTAGACAGCTTGACAAAACTTTCAGAGCTATATAGCAACAGATCATGGATAGTTACAATAAGGAGACTTGTAAGATCTCATACAATCATTTCATGAAAAAGAAAGGTAAAATTATTTCAGCACCCTCCAGACAAGTTAAAGATATAATAAAATCATTGGGGCTAGGTAATCAACAATGATATAAAAAAAAAAAGCCATGTCATACCAGCCGCCTGTTCATTTCTGCCTCCACAAGATGTGCTAGAAGTTTCTCTGTTTCAATCTAGGGTAAAAACAAACAACAAGAAATCAATTTATCACTATTTTAAAATTTACTAGTTCCTTTTAATAAGAATCGAATGCTCATTACCTGGGATAACTGTGCTGAGTCATCTGATTCAGGATGAAGCAGCAGCTGTGTCATTAAAAATATTAAATTTTAGTTAGGTAAAATACTCATTTACTAAGATTGATTGACACATATCTTGAAATACAAATCAGTAAGGGAAATTTAAACCTCTCTCTTGATAAAGGGTGGCAAAAATTCCAGTAAAGCAGATGCCCATGGTGAAAGCTGTGATGAAATGCTGTCAGGAGCAACACCTTGCTTGAGTAGACTGTGTATTTCCTGAGAGGTGCACAGAATTTCAGTACTCCCTTTCGTGGGAAAAGAGAGTTAAGCTATCTCACATACACGCTGGCACGGAAATATTAGGTATGCATTTGGATATGTGTATTCTAGGCACATGCACAGACTGTTTGTTTGGGACTGTGGTCTTAGGGACAACACTCACATTCCCAAATGCTACTAGGGAGGAAGATACAAAAGCAATTACCTTCAAGAGAGCATAGACCTCAGGAATGCTTTCAATGAGTCCCTCTGGCAGTAGAATGACTCCATGATTCTTGTCTGGTGCAATTAATCATGTGAGATGACCAATACCACAATTTATCACGAAAAATGATATGCAACAACTTAGATTATCTAGAACCTTGCTCTGCTCGTGCTTGGACTGCATCGCAAATTTTTTTGGTCAAGTCAAAAAGAGTAAGCTTCGATGCAGCCACCTCCTCACCAAGAATAACCTGCAAAACCCAGATCAAGCATTGTTTAGGATTGAGAAAGCCAAGTGCATAAAAGTGTCATTTGAAGCTAAAAATAAAAGTAACTGCAAAACTAACCATATTTGGATGAGACTGAAGTGTGCATTCCAGAGCAACATGAGATGCCTTTCGGCCCATGAGCCGGATGAAATAATAATACTGGAAAAGGAAATAATATGTTAAAGGTTACACAAAGACAAATTTCAGAATAGCCTTATATTCCTTTATCTTTAACCATCACAATTGTAACTGCAAAAGAAAAATCTCATCTAATTTCAAGACAACGTGCTGTACTGACCAACTAATTTATATTTCTTGAGGTAGCTTTTTGTTAAATGAACTTCAAAAAATGAGACAACGACAATGAATTCTTGACTGGAGATTTGTGAATCAAAAGGATGGTGAACTTATTACCTTCTCTGCAGAGAGAGCATCGGTGCACACATTGCTGATGAGCTGGGAATTAACCTGCAAGTGAGTAAAGTGTGAAATTTTATTTTATTCAATTAACAATTTAACTATACTAAGTAGCCAAGCACCTCAGTTTCCCAAAGGTCAGAATCAAACAGCACTACCGGGTTAAGCAAATAAGAAAGTAAAAAACTATAAAGGGTGATGTTTTCATCCTTGATCATGAACCCAACCACAACCACTTTCATTATATTGCATTTCTGACACTGTGCAACATAGTTTCACACATTATCATATAGGAAATTTTCAATGCGCAAATGAGCAGTAATTCTATCAAGTTTTCCTACTATATAAGCTGCTTGATTCAACACAAACTTATAAATATACAAATATTTCAACGCATACAGCAGTAGCTCCTGCTTAATTGACTTTGATATCACCTAAACCATCTTTTCTTTTCTTTTTTTGGTTTTTGTGATCCATTTTACTAGGTGAAGCAATTTCCTCTAAGTGTTGGTTAACGTAGAACAGCATGGTGTCATTTGATCATACCTTGCATATTGTATCGAAACCAACATTGGTTTCCACAAATTGATTCTTGAGATCTCCATTCAAAGTAACAGGAACACCAACCACCTGCAAAATCCAAACACTATATCTAGTAAATTGCAGTGGCTGGTAGCACAAAAATACGCTTGGGAAAAGTTGCTAAGGCTGCTAGGCATGCAAGCATAAACTATTTGCAACTGTTGCTGATCCTATGTCAGAAGCATGCAGAAATACCTTCGTTTGGCATTTTTCCACTGCAAATGTTTCAGCAAGCTGGGCAGCATCTGTATTTGATGTAACTCCTTCAAAAGCAAATAGCTTCCGAATTTAGTAATTGCTGTAAAATTGCATATGCATCTCTTTGCAAATACTAAAGCATCAAACTTACCTCCAATGATAACAAGGGCATCCAATTTCAAATCTTTGCATGCAGTTAGCGCTGCCCTAACCTGTTCGGTTGTTCTTATTTGATCTTTTGTCCGTCCCAGCAAATCATAACCGCCTTGTCAAGCATAACAAAATAGCAAATTAGCCAAGTCTCATCACCAAATGACAACCGAAGATCCCATCATGACATTCAGATGGTAATAATACATACCTTGATTTTTGTAGGTCTCAAGAATGTCATCTGTAATTTCAAGTGTTTTCTGAGCAAAAAAACCTTCAGAACCTCCTGGTGACACATAAAGCATTATATAAAGTAGATGTCATTTTCTTAAAAGAAAACACAACAGGTTAACAAGTACACGATGTGTGTTCGTGAGAGAAGTAAAACTGGAAAGAGACTGGGTAGAAATCCAAGACAATTAAATCCAGAGATGAAACGCTTGGATGAGATGTTGCTGCTTATGCTTACCTAGAAATCCAAGTAAAGTGCTTTTAGGATTATGGATTTTTAGAGCGTTTTGAAGACCCCATACGACATTATGCCCTCCAGGAGACTGTCTTCCACAGAAGACTATTCCCACCCTGTTGAGAGACCATAAATACACCAGCCAAATATGAGCCTTTTTATTGCACGCCCATTACAAGTCTTTTAACTTTTCACTACATCCAGTATCAATGCATACACTCACAGAAACACAAAAAAACAAAGAGAAAAAGCATTTGACCGACAAGCCATCAGGTTGCTGATCATAACAGTGAATTCAAAAAAGAGCCGCACCAGAAACAGAAAAGGGAAAGGGAAATGGATGATTGATCAATCATTTAGAATGGAAATAGAAGAGCAGGCAGACCTGACAGCAGGATGGTCGGTTATAATCTGAGCATCAGGGACTTTAGCAGTTGCCCTGAGGAAGTGAGCCAAGGGCTGACCATAGGTGTGGGGAAAGGCCCGGCTTATGGCGTGGACATCAGCCGGGTCCGCACATGTGGTTGCATCCCCAAATTCCACCCTCACGGTAGTTCCCTGCAAGATGCACAGGTCCCATACATATAAATACAAATCCAACTCATTAACTGTTCAATTCCTACTGTAAACAAAATAAATGAATAAGAATTATCCAGGATTAATAAATCCATCCAGAACTAATAACTAAAAGAATCAAACAAATAAAAAAATCATGATTCTCTTCTCTCTTTCTGCTAAAGCAGATCTACCAGCCGGCAGCAAAAGAATTAAACAAATCTATAAAAACAATACGTTCTGCGTTGTTTCAAGAGCATAGAAGAGAAAAATCGGAGAGGGCGAGGGAGTAGGAGAGACCTGAAGACAGGGAGGGAGTTCTGGCTGGTAAAGAGATCGGAGTTTTTGGAGATCAGAAAGTTCTCTAGGGATGCCGAAATCGGAATCCATGCCTCGCTTTCCTTCTTGTTGTTTGGTTCGTGAGTTCAGGTAGTCCGAGTGCAGGTAGTTGTGTGTTGGTCGGGCGTTTTTTTTTTTTTTTTTTTCCTTGTAGTCTTCCTTGTTTCTGCTTTAAAAGACGGCTTTTATAGGGGGGAAGGGGAAGGAGGCGAGCGGGCGATACTACCAACTATAAAAAATTTAAGAAAAGAATAGCCCACCAGTTTTGGCCACTTGTATTGATAATTCATTAATCCGCCTTGCTTCTAGGGTTTATTACAAGGCGCCCTCTCCCCCTCCTTCCATCATTGTCTAGACTTTCTTTTTGTTTCCCCTCGTTCTTATCCCCACTGTCACTGTGGATCCCTTCGTCGCATCCCACCGTATTTTTCCCTTCGAGTGGACAAACACGAGGGTGTACACTTCAAGAGTGTTGAGGGACTCGGGGGTCATTGCTGCTTGCAAGGTATTAGATATGATGATGGTAATTAGTGTGGTCATATCTAAAGTATATCCAAATTGATCCAGCTGGGAATATGCCAGGAGGATATTCTGGTAATTTCAGGATGAGCCCACTGACTTGCCAAGTTCTCGTTTGGATCACTCAGCCAGCACGCTGCTCCGTTTTCTTACACTACAGTTTCCTCCCAGCGAAAAGGACAGGTCAGGTAAGATAAGGTTGGGTTTTAATTTGCTTCCCCGTCGAGCGGCTTGAACCCCAAGCAAGGGGCCGCGATCTTGCGCCCCCGGTTTCCTAACTTTTTATGTCAACAACCAGACTCTTTGACGTTATCCATTAACCCCGCCCCTTGCAAGTATCTCGAAGAAAGAGACAACCTTGGCTATGCATGGCGAGATGCGCGGCCGGGATTTAGCCACTGTTTTTTTGTTTTTTATTAATTATTTTTAATATCAATATATAAAAACAATTTAAAAATATAAAAAAATTAATTCCAGCCTTGAAGAATTTTAAAAAACACTGCAAACCATTTGAAAATGTTTATATATGTATCCATATTCGTTTAATAAGTATATAAAATAGCTCCACCCGTAAATGCCCTGTAATCAAATTATATGCTTACCATCTCCCTTCTTTGCATCTAAAAACCTGTAATCAGATTATACCCTTACAAGACCTCAAGATAACCCATGGCAGCTGCTTATTATTATTATTATTATTTTAAGATGACACATAAAAGGACCCTTAAAGCATACCACTGCCATCCAAAGCATGGCCTCGTTATGACTGATCAAAGTCAAGCAGTCAACGTACGGAGACATGGATACAAGATTTCAGACAAAATCAAAGATGAGCATATGATTGAGATTCCTAATTGTCGGAATCGGCACCAGCTTAGCATGATAAAGAGTTCTATACCTTAATTACAAAACCAAATTCAGAGCAAAGAAGATTCACATCAGTCTGTTCCATCCTTGGTCTTGAAGCTTTTCATCTCCTGCTGTCTGCCGAGGATATAAATGGCTCTCCTCTTGGGGCCGCGTTTTCTGGAGCATTCTTTTCCATGGTTTCCAGTAGAACTGCCACCAGAGTTGGCTGGGCTGGGTGAACAGGCGCACGATGCCCAGGAACCAGAGCAGGGATTCTGCAAGAAAGCAATAATAACGGTAGCTTAAGATCAAGCAATTCAACGCATGGCCGCCAATCGACCTTAACCTAGCTAGTCAACAGCAGCACCACAAAAGAAACAAATAATTTTTGCTTTCAGTGGCGCCTGGACCATAAATATATAGCAAGGACGAGAAGGCACATCTAGCAAATCTACCAGGATCCACGAAGGTGGCCACTTCAGCACAAGGTAAGGGGTAGCATTTGGTGCATGCATCCTTAACAACACATATTAGCATGACATATGGGCTTGTTTCAAAGCTGTTTATGAAATCAAATTAAAAGGAGAAAAAGAATAAAGCGTTGGAGAATATAATCTCTTCTGCTTGTATATATTGGGGAGAGGTGGAGGTCGAGTCTCACCGCGTTACTCGCTTGGTAAAAGTTTTATCGTCTCTGGAGTGACAATTAACCGTACACGTGTCGATGGACCCAAGAGATTCAAACCATCTTTGCCTGATGCCTTCACGTGGCCGGATTGGAGACTGGTTGCATAAATTAAGCATGTTTCTATAGGCCGGTTGCCCAATCAAGATACGTTCACTTTCTTGAACCAGACAGAAATACGCGAGTGAGTAAATTACGGGTTTGCAGGTCGTGGGGTTGTTCCCGTAGAGGAGGAGTAACCTGAGGACATGTAGAAGGATCGCATTTCGCCTCTGTAACACCACCACTGCATTTGCAAGGCAAGCTGTTGATAATCAAGTAAAATGGTTGGAAGCCAAATTATTAACAAAACCTCATTGCCCTTAAAAATTACTGTAACTCTAGATTCATGGAAATTGTTCACGGGAACAGTATAATAACTATTTTATACTTCTACCAAAAATTTTAAATCTAGTTTTCAGAAGTAGTAATTTTTTCCACATGATTCATTTATTTTTAAATTAATCAAAAATAAATATGTTTTTTTATTTATTTTAACTGTATAATAAATAAAACCATTAAAATATCCTTAAAAACAAAAATTTAAATCTAACATCAAGGAGTATTTTTGTATTTCCATAATATTATTGTAATTTAAACCAAGAGACAATTTAGTATTTGCACACAAAAAAAAAAAATAAACAACTAAAATATACAATGAAATAAAACAATGAAAATTCTCATGAAATAAAAAATTACAAATCTTAAGAGAATGGATATTTGGTTTTTTTATGATCATAATAGATGAATGACAATTTATGTTTGGCTTGAAAAAATAACATTCATGTGTGGCATACTTGGAGGAGCTTGGCATACTTGTTTGGCACCACATGTGATGCCTCCCAACATCAAAAAATAAATTTTTATTATATTTATGATAGTGATATCATATTTTTTCTCTAGTTGATGATTTAGTTTGTAATTAGTAGATTTTTTTCTTCTTCCCATCTAAAAAATTTAATATTTCCCCTCTAAAAAATTGATTATTTTAACTTCAGTTCTTACTCTTTTAATTTTTAAATTTTTATCTTAATATTTTTTATAAAAATTTTATTTATTTTTAATTTCATCATTAAATTTCTTTTTATCAAATATTATATTCTTCATTTTTATCTTTATTTTTTAGATTTATATATTTTTATAAATCATTTTATATATTCAGATATAATTAAAAATTAAACTTCATAATTTTTACATATTAGTTATTTCAAATCTAATAACACATTATAAATTTGAAAAATTAACACAACTTTATTTAAAAAAAAAAAAACTTTATAATTCAGTTTAACCACCATTATCGGTTTTTTATGTTTTTTTAATCGTATTCAGCACCTGAATATTTTTCTTAAAATATAAGTAGTTCGGCCCCGGCAAAGTGGAAGGGACTAGATATACTGATACATTAATTATACTGACAGATTAAAGCCGGTAGCATTTGGGCAGCTGCCTCCACAGTTTCAGGAGACTCCAGTAATGCAATGCTGCAAAAACTAGCACGCAGGTGTAACCTTTGCATCCAATAAAACGTAAATTTTATATTAATTGAGAGTTTCTACTGGACAGGGACCAAAATAACCGTCCGTGAACCATATTAGCAAACAAGCAAGACCTCCTACGATCCTGGTTTTGCCTCTTCTGCACATCAAGGTTTAGGACTCACGACCACAAGCTGTTTCTGTTCCAAAATGTAAAATAATAATCTATCTAAAACTCAGTTCATCTGGTGCATGGAATTCTTCCTACTAACCACAGTTATCTTGGCAAGCAATCACCGAGTCAAGGATGTTGTATCATAACAAGAGTCTTTCGAGAGTAAGCCCATGCTGCTTTTCGAAGCAAAAAAACAAAAAACAAGTATTGATAATCAGAAACTATTCCAGAAAATATTTACCCCTTTTCAGAGGACACAGTACCAACATATTCAATACACTAACTGGACATGGACACCATGCCCTTTTTTTCTGGCCAACTTCGTGTTCAACTGGCCCAATTCAGAGTTCCAGAACTGATCCTAACCTAAAGACAGTTGGACAAATCATTAGAAAAACAAACAATGTTACTTTGCCTTTAATGAACTGAGGAAGGAAAAAATCATTGGAGTTCGTCCATACTCAAATGTAGAGCACAAAACTCTTGGGCCCCAGGTCACCCTGCCGCTGTGATGTATCTGGTGGCAGGAGCAATCCCTATACCTACAAGCTGCTAAAAAAGTGGCCATTTCAAGTCCAATAAAAAATAAAAGTTGCCAAATAAATTTAGTACAGGGCGGACCTTTATAAACATGAATGCAATGCTTTAGCCTTTTGAGCAACACTGTCAAGTATTTGTGGATCAAAGTTAACCAAATGCCCTGACTAAAACCCTGTCTCTAAAAAACCTAACCACAACCCAAAAGGAAAATCCCGGTCCAAAAACTAGATAGCTAACAGAAAATCGATACTAGTCCATGCTCCATCATCAAACTTCTCAGGATTACATACATGCATTTCGTAGCATGGACAAAACACAGCTCTTAAATCAAGACCCGAGGTAAAGTAGCAGTTTCATGCAACTCATAACACTACCTAGAGTTAACATATTATATAACTATTTTATCAATCCACGCTTGAATATAATGAGCACAGATAATCTAAAAACCTAATAAGGCACCATGCATCTCAATACAAGTTTAAAATGATATTGAAGAACTCATGAGAGTTGTTAGATGCATAAAATGTTGCGAGTTTGGCAAGGTCCCAACTCCAGCAAGACAGTTTGGTTAGTTCCACTTGTTCTTGGAGCTTCAGGACTTCAACATCCTAGACTATTCTGGATCTTGGGCCAGCCTCAAGTTAACAGCATTGATCAACATGACACGCATCAAATCCACGTCACCAAAAACAAAATACCAAAACCTGGGACCTTCCTAAGTGATCCAGATATAATTCCAGTTCCTTGAACCCACCACAATGGCCTTCCCGCTACATGAAAACAAAATCCTGATTGTTGTACTTCAGATTATGGAAAAGATTTTAGCAGGACAACAGAGTCCATACTTAGACATTCATTCACCAATGCTCTAAATACACAGCATTCTAGACATTCATTCACCAATGCTCTAAATACACAGCATTCCAAATGAGGCTTCCTTTGATCAGCTACAAATTTCATCCAATTGACAAGTGCTTAACTCTAACTCAAATCACAACCACAGATTTTCACCAGCTGATAACAAGCCCAGTGTAGCAATCAAATATATAGAACTTATTTATCTGACTAGCAACCTCCCAGGGTTTTCTTATTTAAACACTAAAACAATTGCATTCCCCATACCCAGGTTCTCAGGAGCCTAAATAACAGGTACAGCGAAGCCGCTACAGCATGATGTGGGTTGTCATAAAAAAAATCTTTGTTATAGAATAAACCTATTGCATGTTTTTGCATAAAAACAATTAGCATGTCAAATGGAGGAGCTGGTTAATAATAAACAACATACAGCAAGTAATTTGAGCTAATGCTAACAAGCCCCAAGTAACCACTCAAGTATATCCATAATATACCAACTTCATACATCAGAAGAGGTCACTACATGCTGAGATAAATTTGAAAAAAACACTTTTGGAATTGCCAGTAAAGTTAATATGCAAACTAAGCTCACAGTTTTACAATTCAGTTCAGAGCAAACCCAATACCAAATGATAGATAACCATAAAAAACACATAATCCATCAAACAAATTTAACAGCAAGATGAATTAGCACTAAACTAATAACTGTTAACGGACATAATCACCAACATAGCTAAGGTAGAAACTAAAATAGTTCGAATCCTCGACAGGGACACCATATAGAGTCAAATATTCAAAGTTCAGGAAAACATGAAAAACAAACATCAGAGCCTAGAATCATTACCAATAGGAGAAAAATGCCAGCATACATCTCCACTCCCAGTCCAACCAAAACAACACTCCCTCTTCAAATTACTGTTTCTCCTCCCTCTCTCTATTCCATTGCTCAATCCTAGCCCTTCGTTCCTCACTGCCTTCCCTAACTGGACTCCCATGTCTTTTTCTTCCTCCCTCTCTGTCATACTTGTCATTCCTCCTCCCATTTCCACGATAATCACGGTCTCTGTCTCGATCTCTGTCCCTATCCCTGTAATCCCTCTCACGCCTATCATAATCTCTCTCCCTCTTCCTAGGACTCACACTCCTACTCCGACTCCTACTAACCCTATATCCACGATATCTTCCAAACAACTTTCTACGCAAATCCCTCCCAATCAGCTTCACGTGCATAAAATTACAATAACCGCCACGGTTGCAATTATTCTCCTCAAACTGCCTGCACGTAGCTTCACGAAAATCAGTGACGGGAGAGAAATCAGCAATGATCGGGCGACCAGAGTAAAATCGTCCTTGAAGAGCTTGCAAAGCGGCTGCAGCTTGGTCTTCCTCCTTGAACAGAACATAAACGTTACCGATCATGTGATCAGCGAGATTATCACAAACATTGAGGCTCTCGATCTCGCCAAATTTGTTGAGTTCTTCAAAAATATCCTCGTAAAATTCTTCAAAATGCTCCTGGATCTTGTGCGGGTCAAGTGGCTGACCTTGAGCATCGACGCCAGGAGTAATCATGTCAGGACGCTGGTACATGTTGGATAATAAGAGAGTGGGAGAGATGGTGGGGCGGTTGTGGAGGCGAGAGCATCGATCGCCGTGACGGCATGCGCCAATCTTGAAGTAGAAAGGACAATTAACTCGGTCTTTCTCAGTACCGAAGATTGAAGCTAAGTGCTCCGCCATGGTTTTGTATTTGTTAGTTAGGGTTTGGAGGAAAGGAGAGAAACCCTAATTCAGGAAAAACAAAAAGAAGCCCTAAATTTGGAGATTTAGGGGATTTATCGGACTCGCTGTCGTCTCTGACTTGGGTTGTGGAAGGTTCTAGTCTCTCTGCCTCTGCGAGGGGGATGGACGTGTACCCTCAACAAATGAGCGCGTGTGGAAACACCACCGTAAGAGAATTATTGACTTACAAATCATTTTTACTTTTACTTCTTTTATTTTTTAAGTTAAAATACATTTTTGTACGCGCTTAATGATAATACACATTTGTAGGAATTTTATTTACAGTAAATTTAAAATAGTAAATTTATTAGTTAAAAAGATGTTAGCTTTTTTTTTTCTTTGATGGGTTTAAATCATGGCATCATTTATATGATTTTAAATGAATAAATAAAAGTCAAACCATGTGTTAGCGTTCTATAGTATATAAGAAATTAAAAATATATTATGTCAAAGACGAAGATATATACGAATTTTTAATAACTATCTTTATTTTTCAATGGTAATAAGAAAAATAAATCAATCCATGTTAAATCGGAAGTTACCTTGATGATACCTCCTATGCCTACTACTAGAAACTTAAAAAAATAAAGATCATGAAGAGTATTTAACTTGTTTGGTTTAAAATTTACGATCCTAGTGGAGAATTAAAAATAATAATTAACTTTAAAACTTTAAGTAATTAATTAAAATACAATAAACTGGCATAAATATCTATAATTATATAAAAAAAAATTCAAGACAAGTAGGAGAATCTAAAGGAATGCGCTGAGACTAATAAGTTTATTTAAAAATACAGTACAAACGGCATTCTTTTCAATTTTGATTTTTTTTTGTTAAAAATTACTTGTTATATATATTTTTAAATTATTTTAATATACTAATTTCAAAAATAATTTTTAAAAAATAAAAAAATATTCTTTTTATATATTTTTAAATAAAAATTATTTCAAACCACAATTACTATCACAATACTCATACCAATCAATTCCGACATATCTCTCACGTAAAATTATCAAGGGCTAAATTCTTTAATTTGCAAGTTCCATTCCAGAGAAAAGCGAGGCTACGCAAGCTTGTATTATCAACACATGGAATAAATCGCCAGTGGCCTTGATCTGCAAAATCACCTCAGTTGCCGTCAACTTTGTCTGAGCTTTTGCCACCCTTTCTCGACAAAGCAAGGGGAATGAATTTCCTGGTTAGTGATTTTTGCACTCGAAGCTATCAATTCACGCATCCGGGTCTTGATCTGCTTCACCTAGCACGCCTTTCAGGTATGCCTCGTATTGATGCGGAATTTTCCTTCAATCAAGATTGCATCCGTTTGCCTGGTCCTCCCTTTATAAAATGATGGGTAAGGATACAGTAATCTAACATTTTGTGAATATGGCTAAGGAAAAAGGAAAATACCGAGAACTCCACAAGCTCCCTCCTTTGAACTTCCAGATTCTAAATTAAGAACTAACAAAACCTACACACATTTCATGTGAATAGCACACTAGTGCTAGCTTACCAAATCAATGATTTCAGTGTCGATATCTGAACACGAAGTATACAATCTAAAATCTCAGCATGACTTGATCTCTAGATGTTATTTGTGCCTTGGATCACACGCCACTGGAAGATATGGATCAGGCTTCAGAGATAAAAGCTGATCCTGAGAACATGCAACCCTGAAAGGGAAGTAAAATATCCATTCAATTACCTAGGGAGGCTACGCAAAGGAAAATTCCTCAGTGGGTTCTCCCTTAAGAGATCTGTTTCCCTGCTTGTTGAAGATCAAGAAAACCAATTAGTTCTCACTCAAAAAATATATCCTCCATAAACCATAAAGAACGTCCTTGAGTTGGCACCCAAATAGTCAAGCAACTAGCACTTACTTCTTAATGTCTAGGCCATCACCCTGTCTCAACCTCAATGTCGAAGACATGCCATCGTGATCATGTGCTCTAACCATTCTGATATGATATGATAACAAGTTATTAACAGAACAAGGACATTAACATATCAACAAGCACTATGTAGTATGTATGGATACTGAAGAATTGATGTAATCTCCCTGATAAAATTATATCCGTCGATTAGAGATGACCATTTTAAACTTTAAAAAAATGGCATTGCTTACTTGGAACATTCCTCGTCAACAAACACTTCAATGGAGGCACTTGCAGTTACCCCTCCAGTTCTAGCTCCAGGTCTCAGCGGAATCTGAGAAAGCATATTCTCAAAGTTAAATGCCTGTTGGAAAGGGATTTTTATGAAAATTGGTAGCAAGAAAGCTCTTTTAAAAGACAAACCCACCTTGTATGTTGTCCATTTGGTAGGCACTGCATTATTTTCTTTGTTTCTCTCTTCTAGAGCTCCAAGGGTGCTCCAAGGATTCAACTCTGGCTTGGCCTTCACTGATTGATGTCCTGGCATGGCATCAATATTTGTTGTGTCTTTGAAAATAGAAAGGGGGGTCTTCTGAGTCCTAGAAAATTGAATCAGAAAAGCGTGTTACAAGTTAGAACAGAAATCCACATGATAATGCAGGCAGGCCGCGTTTGCTAACGTAAATCAACATGTCAATAGGCACAATCAGATATAACACTTGCATACATACAACATGCGGCGTTGTTTTACATGGTTAGGGGAGAGAAATCATGGCACAGATTCTTCAATTGATGTAAAAAAATGCAGGCGTAAACTGTTTGAAATGCAAATCAATAGGTATATATTGCTCCTTCAGTGGAAATATTTGTAACAGACATTTTATAGATGTTTTATAATGAATCAACCTGGAAAGCCCTGCAAACAGGGACCACAGTGGAACCTGTGCACTGCTTCTAAATGGATATGTTGCTTCATTATACTTGGGTATCAAAATAACCAAGTATTAGAGATAAATGCATCCAAACCAGGTAGATCGATTTCAATTTTTCTTCTTCTAAAGGCAAATCCTAGAATGGAAAGGAATAGGAGATAGGAAATAAAAGGAAAGTAAGAGCTGTAAAGCCAAAAATGCTTGCCTGTCTGGCTTCATTTGTTTATTTGCAAGTTCGGATCTCTCCATATTTTGCCTCCCTGCAATATTAGTGAGTTTTTAGCAACAAATTCAAAACAGCAGATTAGAGCAGTAGAAACTTACGATTATCTGCACTGGACAAAACAGTTCCAAAGCTTCGGACTGGTAAGTGACTTTCTCCACCGTCATCCTAAAAGGAACAAAAAAAGACAGATGGAATAATATACCACTTCCATTTATTTGATCATGTATCGACTAAACAAAATAATTTACAAAAGTTGCATACCTCCACAACTTTTGGTTTTCTCATTGATCTAATAAGAAACTTCCTGTAGGCATCCTTCAATTTTTCTATTGGTTGAGCATCCCTGTAAAAGTAGATGTTTGTTGAAAAACAAAATTTAATTGTATAAACAAGTCATCATTGCATAATAAAAACTAACGAATCCAAGATCAAACTGAAGGACAGGTAACTTGCGTGCTGTTGCTTTTGTTGTAGGAAAAGCATGATGAATTTAAACACGAAATGCCTTTTGCAGAGTTGAGATATCAGATCTCAAAAAAAGTTTGGCTGATGATAATGAACAAAAGATGAGATTGTGCCCTCAACATCCATCATGCGCTGCAGAACTTTTCCATGTATTAAACTAAAATTACATAATAACATCATTTCCGTGCATGATGTGCAGGTTCACTTTGCTTTCAAAAGTCTAATTGTTATTGTTTGCAAACACATATGCAAACACCTTAAAAGCTCTCAATCTATCAAGCATCAGAACAGTGAATTGATTTAAATGCTGCTTAACTGCAACAAATCTTAACAGAGACAGAGTTCCCTCCCAGTAACTTCAGCTACAGAACAGTTTCATTCTGAATTGTGAAACATCAGTTCTGAATTGTGAGGGGAGTGATATAAATCCAGGTCAAATCCGTATATAAAAACTAATGCCCTTTAAAAATCAAACCAACTCTGTCGTATAGCATTAAAGTATTGGAGAGAGACTTGCCTAGAAATCCCAAGATTGAAAATGTCATTTGCAATTTTCATCTTAGACTTGGATTCCATATGCAAAGCATATGCAAGGTAATAGGCAGAGTGTGACTTGCCAATTTCATTTGCATCAAGAAAACTGTAAATCACTTCTGCATCAACACAGTTTTCCGCCTGACAGAAAAAGCGAAGCACCGTTTTCATCACGACAAAGAGTCTCCAAAAGATTTGAAAGCAGAGGTAAATAGTGAAAAGAATTGAGAAAGAAAAGTAAGAACCCACGTATTCTAACCAAACTTTGAGGTACCGGAGATCATCCTTGTACCGGTCGGAATGCCAAAAGGCACGCACACATTGTTCGTATATGAGTATGAGGCCTGAGCAGTCTCCTCCTGGTGGGAATGCCTCTTGAACCCATTTTATACACCTTCAAAACTCACCCCCAGTTTTACTACTTTAATATTATTATTCCAATCATAAGAATTATCGATAACAAATTATTAAGTACTCCACAACCTTCAAATCAAATGGAATTAAGAATAAAACTGAAAGAACACAACTCGCATGAATTTATGTTCATTAAATATCGATGATACGAGGAAGGATGGTACTTACTCGATCCATGGCAAGAGAGGGTCATCCCCTTCGTACTCGTCAATATATTCGATCAACTTCCTACACCCATGAAATCAATCAGCAAGAACAACACAAGTTAGACGAAACGAATTTAATGAAAAGAAGGCTGAAGAAGGACCTTCGGGTATCCAGGAGAGATCTCTTGAGTTGATAATCTCAGTGAGATTTGAGGGCTTGATTCAAGAGGCCAACACTGCGGCCTCTTTTCAAGGGTCTTACATTTTCTTTGAACAGTTCCCACTCGTTACCCGTCTCTTGTTTTGATGCGAGAAACTCCGTCTCTGGATCCATCTTCTCCTCGTCACTTTCTTCTTCTTCTTGAATCTTGAGGGGGATTGCAACTGTGATTGCGATTGGAGGGGGCGGGGGACTCTGGGTCCGCTGCTTGTTTTGAAATGTTACCAAAGGGAAGAGCATGTCTGGGCTTGGGCCACGCATATAAGCGCCAGTGGAGCTGCGAAAAGAGAAGAGCGTTTGTATGGGCTGGGGAATGCCTTGTACAGACCGTCTTTTTGACAGGGTATACCAGGATAGGTTACCATCCTACTTTAACTTTCAAGGTTTAAACTTTAATAAATTATTAATCAATGATTATTTTCCTAAAATACACTAAATTGATGTGAGACTTTATCAAAGCGAATGATTTAAATAATCTATCGAAGAGAATGGTTTAAATAATCACTTAAGTTGGGATGAAAACATCTTGATCTTGAAAAAAATTGAAAGCTACTTGTAACGGAAAAACAGACGCCCAAGTCTATTTCTAACGAGACAACAAAAGCCATCTTGAAATGCCCAAAGAAATCTATACCGCAGCAAATCCACGGCCACCTCCCTTCTACCTTATTGGATACTCAAGGCAGGCAAAAGGGCCCTCGTGTGATCCACTCCGCTGGTTGAGGTAAAATGTAGACAACATTATTAATGACCACGGGTGGTGGTGGTGGTGGTGGTGGTGGTGGTGGTGGTGGTGGTGGTGGTGGTGGTGGTGGAACGTCATGCCAGGGCAGGGAGGCTGTTTTGGTAAATTCATTGATCGAAAGCTGGGTCCAAGTGTCCTATCAAAAGCTATCAACAACCTAGCCCAACCCCATGAAATTACATTCATATCCTTAATCAAGTAATCATTCATCATATTGTTAAATTCTGAAAAAACAAAACAAAAAAAAAACCATAGTATATTATTGAAGAAGAGGCCAAAGTAGGTGGATAAGGACCTGTTGTGTTTGCTTTTGATTGCTAGAGAAGAGGAAATAGGAGAAGGAAGAGGATGGCATCTTTGTCCGTGATCCTGTCTTCATCTAATTTCTCATCAAGATCTGATGTTTTTGGCAACAAATTGTTCAATGGAAGATCGCTTGCTGTGAAGGGTACTGGGAGGGAGTGGGACTGTAGTAAGAGGGTTATGAAAGAGGCGAGGTTGAAGGCAAAAATTGGGGGAGGAGGAGGAGGAGTGGCAAAGTTCAAAGGGACCCAGATGAGAGAGAAGCAGCTGACAGAGATGATAGAGGAGAAAGTCGTAGAAGCAAAGGAAGTGTGCCAGGGAGACGAGACATCAGACGAGTGCAAGGTGGCATGGGACGAAGTGGAGGAGGTGAGCCAAGCAAAGGCTGATTTCCGGCGCAGGTTGGAGAAACAGGATCCTCTCGAGTACTACTGTCAGGACAATCCTGAGACCGACGAGTGTCGTGTCTATGAAGATTGACTGCGCACCCACGTCCGGCCACCACCATCCCTATCAACACCGTCTAGAGAAGCAGGATCCTCTCTCTATCTTTAAGAAGGTGTAATAATTGTACTGGTGTTTTGCTTCCTCCGATCCCCTCGTTGTAAATTACAAACCCCCACCCCACCACTGGTAATGCCAAGGCAACCAAGAAATTTTTATTTTTAAAATAAGCCAGTCATATTTATCTATTGAACTGCATGTTATCTTTTCTTGTTTAAGAGGATAATTTTAATTAATAAATTCTAAAGTACTTGATCACGATGATGCAACCTTTGCCTAATAGAAAAAAGCACTACTGCTATTCCACTAGTGTGTGTGTGTGTGTGTGTTTCATCACATCAACAGAGAGATTGCTTCCTTCAGCTTTGCCTTTGAATTCCTCTGAAGGGAGACGCTTTTGATGGCAAGCAGTTGTTTGCTCTTGGTATCACCCACAATAAATGAATCAGCCATCGCTTGAAGCAATCTTACTGCCAGAAAGGAGTAGGAGATCCAATGCTAGGTTCCCACTCACAGATTGCGTAGAGAAATGGGCTTGCAGCAACACAGTAGCCTTCGCATGCAGATTAGTGTATCTTGGATTTTCAAATGAAAACTTGTTTGATTGACTAATCGTTGAAGCACCTTCACTCCCCCAGGTCATATTGGAAGTTGTGCCTTCTCTGAGGCTGAAGAGAGGATTTCCAGAACACATTTACTTGCTTCTTGATCACTCAAGGTGCTCACAAAGTTTCCTGTGACTCCCTCTCTGAGATTGTAGTAGTTTGGATTTTGAGTGAGCCTCCTATACATGAAAGTAAACGTGAGATAACCTACAACATTTTGCTTGTTCTCAATAACTCCAGCAACACTTTCAGTGTTAAAATTACCGTGCCAAAAATGGTACAGATGACTTTCTGAGGAAAATGCTTCATATAAGAATTTCATGTAGTATTCTTTGGGAGGTTCATGGCAAAGGATGACCACTTTGCAGGTTTATCTAGTATAGGTCGACCAGCCATCATCTGCAGAAGAGGACAATCCAAGTGAACATTTTCATGCCCATCATCACAACTACCAAATGTGCAGACAAAGGCACTCCCCAGCACATTGTTACTCAAGAAGCAAATGAATCCATCGAACTTCAAGCAGTCGGGACATAACTTATCAATCAAAGCTGCTAAAGCCCCCATGCAAATAGCAAACTCCGTGCTCCAAAGTGGCCCTCAACTTTTCTTCCTGGATCTTTTCAGTGAAAGGCTCCCATTCCATGGGGACCGTAGCAGAAAAGCTGGCTTTATCCACCATCCACGCTCGAGTATGTCGTCAGATCTATGGCAGTGAGTCACACATGCTTTCTTAGTTTCTCACGGTAACAAACACAATAGCAGGCTTTCCATTCTTTGCATGCAGGGCTGTAGAAGTATTTGTCAATTGCATCATAGCTTGCATCCTTGTCTCAAAATTGGCAATATCTATTTCTTAATGCGTAATTCCAATCAAGCGAAGCTCGTCAATGATAAAGACACTAACTTGCTGAACATGCTTGCGTTGTTTCCAGTGTCAGGACAAAGCACCATATCTCTGGGGCCCTGATGATTATTTCACCCTTTTCAAGCAAGTGGCTATTTCCCCTGCAAACTCAACTATATGCCAAGACCTCTACCGAACTCTCTCCCCGCCTCGATAGCACTCCTTGGCAATTGCTTCAAGAGGTGCAATATACACAACGTGTGACACTGTTGGTCCCTTGTAGTCTTGCCACTAATTGTTGGTGCAGCACAAGAGTCAGCATGTGGTCATCATCAACGTACTTCTTCAGCATGAAGTGCTCGTGATGAAGAATATAGTCAGCATAATTTCCTCCGCGATAACACAAAATGGCTCCTCTTATCAATAACCTTGTCCTCCAGTTGAAAGTCTGGTGATATTGTATGTTCACTCCTCGACACAGTGTGAGGAACATGCTGAACGAGTGCTACAAGATTAGCATTAGGAATTGATGGGTGAACTTGTCCAGTTTCCTGTCCATCTTGGGGGATGGATGAGTTCGCCATTCTCCTGCGGTGAAAGGTCATAATTTTTTTTGTCCAGGCCAAATCTTTCTTAACCAACTTCATCAGGATTTCATTCGAGACGCCATAGAACTGACGAGGGGGAGCCTGGACGCTTCTCCACATTCTCTTTTGACCATCCACACAGATCCAAAGCCTTCTTCTCTATGCATGTTAACTGGGCCCATCCTCTTCTCAAAACAATATCAAAAAGAGCGCGCTTAAGACAACCAACACTCGACAACGAAAACAAGAACAAATGCACAAGAATTGGATGCAAGACTGGAATTTATCCATTTTGAAAGGTTAAAAAAAAGTAGAAGCCAAGACACCAAAGAGATGAACACAAAGCTGAACCTGTCAGATGTCAATGAAATGCCTTCAACTGTTAGCTTTGCAGCAAAACATTAATTTGTGCACTACGCTCCTATGTTTAATTTCCGTAGTTCTTACTACTATTGTTTATTGCGACTACTGCTCCACTGCTATTCCTAAGTTGTTTTGTGAGGCAGGGAGGGCTGATTCCTTCGTGTGTGTTTTTCTTTTTTAATAGGCTTTCAATTGCTAAAACAGCAAGCGTTGCCATCGTTCTACACGATACCGTCTTTTGACGTCTAATGACGTCTTCTGTCCCAATATCTTAAAAACCAGCTTAATTCTTCAAAACTTGCGATCCCACTTATAATTTTATAATAAAATATATTGAAATAAATTATAAAATTAAATTTTTAACAAATAAAATATTGATTAATAAAATTAAAATTAAAAAACAAATCACAATTAAAATGCATAATAATTTATAAGGTGATGCATAATAAAAACCCGATCTCTTGTATTGTTTTATTAATAATTAAACTATATAATAAATACGGGTTTAGCATTAACTGAGAGGGGGGGAATTGTTGTTTTCAACTGAACGCTAGATGATTTTGGCCTATTCGGGGATTGGATCAACGAATGATTTTGTTTGATAGTATAGTTTAGCCATATTTTTTTTAAAAAAAATTGTTTTTATTTTTAGCTTCAATATAATTTTTTTTATTATGATATGATAAAATTAAAAATAAATTAAGAAAAATATTTTTAAAAATAACCTTTATTATACTAAAAAATACCTCTGAGCTCTAGGAGGACTAGTGGCGGTTGGATGGACAGCCCAACCCCATCTCGAGCGCGATGGTCAACCATGGCTGGGAGGGCAGTGGATTTATCATGCTGTGGGTTCGATGAATCTACCATAGCTGTTCTTTTTCTCCCTTGGATTTATTTCTCTTTCTGGTTAAATTGCAATAATTTACTTCAGTTGACTGTATATTCAGTATTTAAGATTTCTTTTCTAATTATTTATAACTCTTCAGGTTTATTCTACTCTAATGTGCTTTCAAGTCCATGTATTTTCCGGTCCTTCCTGTGAGATACAAGTTTTTGGTAAAATTTACAAAGAAGTACACATAATATCTTAAATATAAAATAAAAATAATAAATATGTGTTTGATTAATTTCTTAAAATAGAGTAGAGATATAAACTATATTTTGTTGAAAAGATATAAATAAAAATATAAAGAGTATATGTCTAATCTATTTTTATTATTTTTGCAATAGACAGTAATCAAACGGTTTATTAATCATTGCCATGGAAACAAGTTAAATGAGTGCCTGGAGGGGCATTAATTTTTATTTTTAAATGTATTTTAAAAATATTAAATTGATAATTCTACAATTTTTTATAATTTTCATGTAAAAAATATTTTAATTTATTTTTTAAAAAAAAATATTTAAATCAGAATACAAAATACACTCTTATTTTTTTTCAAATAAATATGTAAAAAACAAAACATGTGAAATATTGAAAATCTTTTTATTTTTATGATTCAAAAATATTTTAAAAAATTAATTTTTATTTATTTTAAATTAATATTTTTATAAAATACTAACGTTAAAAATAATTTTTTGAAAAAAGATAATATACTCTAAACCAAAAAGGACGTTAAAAACAAGTAATAAAACGTGCTCTGAAATAATTACCTGCCGCCTCAATGGTCCGTACATACAGTGGACGTTTGTTATGTTATGACGGGACGGCATGGGATGGGACTGCTCGTTGTTATCGGATTCGGTAGAATCGTACCGTTCTTTGCTGTCAGGTTGTACAGTATTTCCATGCTCACAAGGACTATGAGTATACTCCGTATTTTTTATTTCTTAGAGCAATCATATACTGTTTTCTATTTTTCGACTGTGCGTGGCCACGCGGTTTATACTGTATCATTGCCACGTGGTCCGTTTCGTACAGATCACAAAAGGGAAAATTTTAGGGTGCGATACCCAGTGAGTTAGTACTTAGTATTTGTTCGATATTAAAAAAAAAAACAACTCAGTTAAAGATATATAAAGATAATGTTGTTTTTATATTTTAAAAAAAATTAATATCATTAAATTAAAATCATATAAAAAATAAAAAATAATCAATTTAATATTTTTCCAAATAAAAAATAATTTTAAAAAATCTTTAAAAAACAATTAAACGTTACCTTACTCTCTGAGATCTACTTTTAAGGGGGGAAAGCAAGTACAAGAAGAGGAATAAATAAAATTCATAACTCTCCAATACAAATAATACATGTAAACTCATTGTCATCGTGGGTTAGAGCAGTAAATTGAGAAGTCTATCCCTGTACAAATAATACAATCGACCATGGGAGCTGGGGTATAATAGTATTTTTTCTGGTTATTGAGCAATAAAATGACTAGCATGCTCCCGGAGACAAAAATTTATGCAATAGCGAACATTGATGTTTTTTGTTTTTTCATTTTATTTGCATAATAAAATTACCACAAAGCCTCTAAATGAGAATTGTCTTTATCCATCATTAATGAATGGCACTTTTTTGAAGCATTTTTTGTTTAAACCATAATTATGAAAGCCAACTTGAGTGTTAATTTGGTCAGAAAAACAAGTCTCGAGTTTTATAAATTAATTTGTATTAACTCAAATTAGCTTAAAAATTCACTTTTTTTTTATTTGCAAGTTGTTCACAACAACTTCAACGTCTAAGAAAAATAATATTTCTACAACTTTGCAATTTACATTCTCTTTCCACATATTTCCCATCCAAATTGAGTCCACAAGCTACAGGGAATGCCCCACATTGCAATTTAATATATTCCCTCGTCAACCAAAAATTTTGAAAGAAAAACACACAGAAAAGCCCTAAAATTTTTCCT